TTGTGTTACTCCGCACTAGTGCGAAGTGAGTCCTCGATGACCTTTAGTTGCTCCTAATAAAGCTGCTAATCCTTTACTAGCCTTCTCTTTTGTGAAAGTTTAATTCGCCTTCCATTTTTCTTTTTCTTTGGTTTTTCGTCTGGATAAATTATTTTGGTTATGTAAATTATGCTTTCTTCTATGATATGATCTCTAGGAATTAATATCATTATCAAAAAAAAAAACACAAATTCTAGTATAATATAAAATGGCTATATTCTAAATTTGATGAAAATCTGAATAAGTTATAATTTTGTTCGGAAAATTGTCCGATCGTTCCTATGACAGCTATATGATATAGTCGTCCGATCCGGCCAATGTTTCATTCAGATAGCTTCAATACTGAGAGATCAGTTTGCGTAGAAACGGAGAGACGGACATGGCTAGATTGACTCTGCTGTTGATGCTGATCAAGAATATATATACTTAATGTAGTCGCAGGTGACTCCTTCACTGCGTTGCAAACTTCTGCCTCAAATTATAATACCCTGCAAGGGTATAAATTTGCATATATCTGTGAGCGGCACTACATGCCTTTTTGACAGTTCCTTATTCTTTTAAATTTACTTATGGTTCTTAAGGAGCTAAATTCTGCCGGTACTGCCGGCAGAGGTTTTAAATATTGTAAATACATTACGTAGTCTGAAGTGAGAAGCCAATAGAGAAAATGAAAGACATTGACATTGTGCGTATAAACACATTATTATCTGAGAATATGTCGATCCGACGATTATTATACCCTTGCAGGGTATTATAATTTCAGTCAGAAGTTTGCAACGCAGTGAAGGAGTCACCACCGACCATATAAAGTTTATATATTCTGGATCAGCATCAACAGCTGAGTCGATCTAGCCATGTCCGTCTGCCCTTGTGTCCGTCTGTCCGTTTTTAAGGCTATGTGAAAGAAACTTTGCAGTTAGAGCTCTATATACTCTCACTCATATATATGTATGTCGGAACGAGCCGGATCGGGCGACTTTAGCACATAGCTGCATTACGAACAATCGGAAAATTTTTAAAACAAAAATTTTAACTTTTTCAGTTTTCAACAGAATTTTATCAAAATTGGGATATAGTTATATAACATTATTTAACAATTTTGTGTAAAATTATATGACGATCGGACTACTACACTTCTGTTCATAATTATACGACACCTATACAATTTTTGTTTCAGCGGTCGTAGAAGAATGGAAACACACAGAAGATCAAAATAAAGTATGGCGAATAATAGCACAAAAAGTAATGCACAAAATACGCTATTCTTATCCTTGTTTGCCTCACTCGTTTTCAAGTAACGGTAAAAAATTACACGCGCCCTGATTTAGGCTACGCTGCAAGTGTTTCAAAATGATACGACACTTTACAACCTTTCCCACTTCAAAATTCGTTTAGGCATTGAACTAATTAAGTTTTTTAAGATATTTCGGTCCAAGAGAGACCATTATCTTAAAATTTAAATTTTGAGACTTTCAACAGTCTCAAATTTATTGTTGTTGGCGTAAACTCGCCTGGCTAAGATACTCCAGATGTTTTCAATCGGATTAAGGTTAGGAGAGCAAGCCGGCCAACATTTATTTTATTGTCATTGAGGAACCGTTGCGTCTCTTTGCTTTTATGTATGGACGCATTATCCTGCATAAAAACAAAATTTTGGTCCTTATTTTGATCCAAAAATGGCAGAAGACGATCTTGTAACACATTTTTCTAGTCTGCAATTTTCATTTTTGAGCTTCTAAAGCACAGCTCAAGCGTACCAGATGCATGAAAACTCCCCCAGCCATAGCTGACCCGCCTCCAAAATGGCGTGTTGAGAAGATAAGGGGATCCTTACTCAAATCACGCCAATAGTGACATGCGGCATTTTATTAAAAATTGCATAAAATATTTTACAAACTAATCTGCACTAAGCCTTTCTCTTTAGCCGCAATAATTGTAAAGTGTCGTATCATTTTGAAACACTTCCAGCGTAGCTTAAATCAAGGCGCGTGTCCTTTTTAACCGTTACTTGAAAACGAGTGAGGCAAACAAGGATAAGAATAGCGCATTTTATGCACTACTCCTTGTGCTATTATTCGCCATACTTTATTTTGATCTACTGTGTGTTTCCATTCTCCTACGACCGCTGAAACAAAAATTTTATAGGTGTCGTATAGTTATGAACAGGAGTGTATATTATATAGCTGCCATAGGTACGATCAAGAAATTAATACAATTAAAAATTATAACTTTTACAGATTTTTTCAAATTTGAGCTATTGCACTTTTATATTATTCTAGAATTTCAATTTTAATTTTATAAAAATCGGATGACTATATCATATAGCTTCCGTACACACGATCGTTAGATATAGAGGAAAATGCAAAACTGTGAATGTAAAACTGTAAATATAATAAGTATAGGTGAATAAAATGAAGGCAGGCATTACTTTATTGCTTTTTTATATATATAATTTATATTTTTGTAATTCATAGTGATCGAAGTTTTATCTGCAAGGGTATGTAAACTTCGGTGTGCCGAAGTTAGCTTCCTTTGTTGTGTATGATTATTTATGAGTTTACCAAAGTAAATACTTTGTACTCATTTACTACATTCGGTACAAAATGTTCTTTTCCAATAATTTAATAAAAAAAAGTTTGGAGCGAATATATTTTATAAGCCAGGGAAGAAGAACTCTGTTGCCGAAAACAGTCTCCAGTCAGACATAGCAACAGTACACAGAGAAATTGCAGCGTAGCTTAAGTCATTGCATTGGGAATTGTTTGTACTGGCTTTCATTTGAAGCATTTTCATTTAAGTCTGTAAGTACCTCTTAAGTAGTATAAAAGAGGGAATTAAAATCGCTTAAAACATAAAGACGCGGTAATTAATTTTTGCGCTTGCAATTTCGCACTGAATAATATCCGCCACCAGGTTCCATATAGCAGGCGTTCAACAACTATATTTTGGTTTTATCGTGCTGAATCATAAACGTTTCTGAATCGACCAGTTAAACCGACAATATCAGCATCGTAAACAGGACGGAGTTAACACAATCACCAAGCTTCGACTTAAGCCAATAGAAAATATTGTTTAAAAGCTATGGGCACGCTTTAGAGATTACACATTTCTGTAATTAGTTATTAATAGTGCATAGAGCTTTAGAAATTGATTTTCGCTGAACTTGTATCAGTCGATTTTGGATGTTATTACCAAGAACGCTTACTATAAAAGTGTACTCAACTCACGCAATCCACGTGAGCATTAATATATAATAAATCAGCCAGGCTAGACAGCTGACCGAATAAGTAAATATTATACAAAAAACATGAGAATAAAAACTTTTTATTCATAAATATACTTTTAAGTGTCGGGAATGATTACTTCGCTGAGTTCTGACTAAAATAATAATAATTTTCAAGGATATAATACATGGAAAATTCTAAAAAGATTTTGAAAATGTAAAGGTTTTATCCTGCTAACATAATATCAACTTGGCTAGACTTGTTCAGAAGCGTTAATCAGGATGGGAACTTCGGAACTCCTAATTTTGTGTATTCTTGCAGTTCGCCATAAGATCCTTATCTATGCCTATCTTATACAATATAAATTATTCTTATTTATATTAAAAACCCAACAAATTAATGCCTATTTTTATTACATTCTCGTATAAATATGTATAGCCGATTTACATGAGATTATTTCCAAAATTCTAAATTCATACAAAATACCCATGCCTCAAATTTGATGTAAATATCTTAAAAACCAGCAAACACAATTATTTTACCTAAAAAAGTTCCTATTACTTCTATGGCAGGTATATGATAGTCGTCCGATTCCAGTAAGAATATATAGAAGACTATCAAACTTAAATTCAGATACTTTTCATAATGAGGAACTAGTTTGCGTATTATCACACAGACGAACCGACAGACGGAAATTGCTAGATCGCCTCGGCTGTTTATCCTGACAAAGAATACAAATATATATACTCTATGGAAGTTACTCCTTGAGTGTGATGCAAAGTTCGGACTTTAATTTTAATACTCTGTCAAGGTATAACAAAAAAGATAACTAACTTCGGGACTCGAAAGATTTTATACCAATAAAGCTTGTAATTGGCAATCGCTCCATTTCTGTCAAATGAAAACATAAATCTAAATCTAAATTTTATATACACTTAACAATTTACAAAAATATTTATATTTACTGACCATACCCTTGCCAGCTATATAATAGACAACTCAGATGTGGATGCTGATCTAGATATATGTATTTTTATACTTTATGGCATCGCAAACTTCTGTTGAAAACTATAATACCCTGGCAAGGGTAAAATATACATAATGAAACGTCCGCTCATTATAATCGGGTACATGGAATCTACTACATACTAATAAAATACATTAAAAATTAAATGAAACTTTGTATACACTTCATTGTATATCGGAATTAAACAAATATATATTAAAAAATATATATAAATATATTTTTAGGAAAGTTTATGAATAGTCTTTAAAAAGTACATAGTTATCTGAATTGTATAACTAATATAATGGTCACAAAAATCTTAAAAATTAACTGATATAGAGAAGTGGGCTCTGTAATATCTAGCGATTACAGTACAAGTATTTTGTAAAATGGGTCACATAATTGACAAGCGTTGGGGGACACCTACATTCATAGCTAAGTACTGTAAACACTAAGTTATATGGACGTTCTGGCAAACACACAATGCTTGGTCCATTAATATCTAGCGAGAGCTGTGCCCGCATAAGTAAACATGCTAATGCTTTAATAGGGGATCGGACCCTCTTTCTAAATCATTATTAAATTAAATCGTTTGCACAAAATGTCAACACAACTGGGAGAGTCCCCTATAAATTTAAGCTGCGTTTTATATACTTAGCTTATATCACATTGGGGAATTACCTCAGCTGAAAAATACAATAGGCATGTTCAGTTGGATGCTTGCTATTGACCTGATAGGGCTACTACTCTTGTGCTCTTTTAAATCTCATAAATTTTAACGTAAAACAAAAACAAGTACGAGGACGAGATAAATTTGTGATCAAAAAAGAGTCCTGGGACTCGGCATTCCTATATAATAAGTAATAATACTGAGTGAAAATATGTACAGTACCAGCGATGCAGACGGCGGAGGAGGAGATGTTCGTAAAAACGAAATTGAAATGTGCCAACACCTGGATCATCCTTCAATTTCCCCTTCTACTCCACAAAAATCTTTGGACAAGTCAAAACAGGTTTGTAATCCCTCATCCCTTTTTTGTCTTTGGAAGGTCAGAAGTACAAAAATACAAAATTGAAACTTAAAAGACAATACAATTTTTTATTTCGACTTTCTCCGATAGTATAAAATTAAACAAAAAAAAAACAAGAAAGGAAGCTAACTTCGGCACGCCGAAGTTTATATACCCTTGCAGATATAACTTCTATGACTTGGAATCTCAACAATATAAATTATATTTATTTGTGTTAAAAAACAATAAAGTAATACCTGCTTTCATTTCATTCACCTATACATATTATATTTGCAGTTTTACACTCGCAGATTTGCATTTTTCCTCTACATCTAACGATCGTTTGTATGGCACCTATATGATATAGTCGTCCGATTTTCATGAAATTTCACACAAAATTTAAAACTAATATAAAATGGCTATACCTCAAATTTGATGAAAATCAGCTGAATACAGAAAAAGTTATAAATTTAATTGTATTAATTTCTCGATCGTTCCTATGGGAGCTATATGATATAGTAGTCCGATTTTCATAAAATTTTATGCAAAATTGTAGAGTGTAGTAAAATGGCTATATCTCAAATTTGATCCAATTCTATTGAAAACTGAAAAAGTAAAAAATTTTTTGTAAAAATTTTTCGATCATTACTATGGCAGCTATATGATATAGTCGTCCGATCCGTCCCGTTCCGACATATATACGAGTGAGAGTATATAGAAGGCTAACTACAAAGTTTCATTTAGATAGCTTCAAAACTGAGAGACTAGTTTGCGTAGAAACGGACAGACGGACAGACGGACAGAAGGACAGACGGACAGACGGACAGACGGACATGGCTAGATCGACTCGGCTGTTGATCCTGATCAAGAATATATATACTTTATATAGTCGGAGGTGCCTCCTTCACTGCGTTGCAAACTTCTGACTGAAATTATAATACCCTGCAAGGGTATAAAAAAAGAAAGGGCTTTTGATTACATAGCTATTAATTTTATATTTATATTTAAACATTAAGTTTATTATATTATATAACCAAATATTATTATTGCGTTATCTACAACAATACTTTTCTTTTATTAACAAAAAAATGTTTGTGTAATATTTTCAGTTGGTTCAAATTGATCTACCGGAACGTGGATCTTGGTCTTCGAAAATGGACTTCATACTATCTGTGGTCGGACTAGCCATTGGCTTGGGCAATGTATGGAGATTTCCATATTTGTGCTACAAAAATGGTGGAGGCGCCTTCATATTGCCATATATATTGACTTTATTCTTGGCCGGAATACCGATGTTTTTTATGGAGCTAGCTTTAGGTCAGATGTTGACCATAGGTGGTTTGGGTGTATTTAAAATTGCACCAATATTTAAAGGTACGATTTTAAAAACATAAGAACAGAAAATTATTGTTTGTTTTAATTCTTTTATACTAGTTTTGTCACATTTTGTTATTATTTGTATACTGGCCAAAAAGATTTTAGTGTGGAATCCGAGTCGGAGGAGCATTATTATATATTCCGAGATATAGTAATTTTTAATGATTTCTGATTTACGAAATTTTCCCGCAAGGTCCTTACAGGAATCTGAGACAGAAGGACCCTGTTGTACCTCACAATTTAACTCAACAATCGACAGTTGGTCAAACTCGACTGTAGTTTCTTTTTTTATTAAACTATTTAATAACGTAATATATTTATATTTTTCTTTTAAGGAATTGGATATGCTGCTGCCGTCATGTCCTGTTGGATGAATGTCTATTACATTGTCATTCTGGCCTGGGCAGTATTTTATTTCTTCATGTCAATGAAAACGGGTATGTTTTACAGGAGAAAAAATTAGAAAGAAACCATATATAACAAGAAAGGAAGCTAACTTCGGCACGCCGAAGTGAAATTACCCTTGCAGATAGAACTTCGATGACCAGGAATCCATACAATATAAATTATATAAATTTATGTTAAAAAACAATGAAGTAATACCTGCTTTCATTTCATTCACCTATACATATTATATTTGCCGTTTTACATTCACAGATTTAAATTTTTCCTCTACATCTAACGATCGTTTGTATGGCACCTATATGATATAGTAGTCCGATTTTTATAAAATTGTACACAAAATTGTAGAATAATATGAAATGACTATATCTAATTTGATTAAATTCTTTTGAAAACTGAAAATGTTATAATTTTTTTTGTAAAAATTTTCCGATCATTCCTATGGCAGCTATATGATATAGTCATTCGATCCGTCCCGTTCCGACATATATACGAGTGAGAGTACATAGAAGACTTACTACAAAGTTGCATTCAGATAGCTTTAAAACTGAGAGACTAGTTTGCGTAGAAACGGACAGACGGACGGAATGAAATGAAAGTAGGTATTCATTGTTTTTATACCCTTGCAGGGTATTATAATTTCAGTCAGAAGTTTGCAACGCAGTGAAGGAGGCACCTCCGACTATATAAAGTATATATATTCTTGATCAGGATCAACAGCCGAGTCGATCTAGAAATGTCCGTCTGTCCGTCTGTCCGTCTGTCCGTCTGTCCGTCTGTCCGTCTGTCCGTTTCTACGCAAACTAGTCTCTCAGTTTTGAAGCTATCTGAATGAAACTTTGCAGTTAGTCTTCTATATACTCTCACTCGTATATATGTCGGAACGGGCCGGATCGGACGACTATATCATATAGCTGTCATAGGAATGATCGGAAAAGTTTTACAAAAAAAATTATAAAATTTTTAGTTTTCAACAGAATTTGATCAAATTTGAGATATAGCCATTTCATATTATTCTACAATTTTGTGTAAAATTTAATGAAAATCGGACGGCTATATCATATAGCTCCCATAGGAACGATCGAGAAATTAATTCAATTAATAAGTATAACATTTTCAGTTTTCAACAGATTTTCATCAAATTTGAGATATAGCCGTTTCATATTATTCTACAATTTTGTGTAAAATTTTATGAAAATCGGACTAATATATCATATAGCTCCCATAGGAACGATCGAGAAATTTGAGAGGAATGAGAATGGCGGTGGCTGTTGTCGGAAGACTGACAATCGCGGTGGCGATAACATTTTTAGTTTTCAACAGAATTTAATCAAATTTGAAATATAGCCATTTCATATTATTCTAAAATTTTGTGTAAAATTTTATGAAAATCGGATTACTATATCATATAGCTCCCATAGGAACTTTTTTAGTTTTCAGCTGATTTTCATCAAATTTGAGGTATAGCCATTTTATATAAGTCTTAAATTTTGTGGTAAATTTCATAAAAATCGGACGACTATATCACATAGGTGCCATACAAACGATCGTTTGATGTAGAGGAAAAATGCAAATCTGTGAATGTAAAACTGCAAATATAATATGTATAGGTGAATGAAATGAAAGCTGGTATTACTTCATTGTTTTTTAACACAAATATATATAATTTATATTGTATGGATTCCTATTCAAAGAAGTTCTATCTGCAAGGGTATATAAACTTCGGCGTGCCGAAGTTAGCTTCCTTTCTTGTTTAATATTAATATATATATTTTATATTGTATGGATAATTATAACTTTACCGTTTTAACCGATGTGTCAAATTTGAGATATAGCCATTTTGTATTCTTCTATAATTTTGTTTAAAATTTATGAAATTAGGACGACTATAACATAGTAGATATATAGATATAGATATAGCCATTTCATCAGTTAAGTTTGATTATTTTATTCCGTGATCGTTGACCGCACACCTTCACTATTTTCTTTATACTCTTCTTTAACTCAACATATGAGGTGACTTCGCTCGCGTTGTGGTAAACTCCTGGTGATGCAGGCTCCCACATCTCTCCTTTTTTTCAGACTCAGTTTTAGACCTTTACGTGGCATCTGTAAGTGTGGCTCCGCGCCACCCGGCTTGGAAGGGGATGATTCATCAGCCCCTTCCGATGATTGGCCTTGCCTTGGCGAAACTGCAGCAGCGGATGCGGTGATTCGACTCTCTAGAAGTGACTGACGTTCCTGGTGTACTACTTCGAATTGAATTGTGGGGAAAAAGAATTTTTCATATGAACAGTTCTAGCTGCATCTGCTATCTTCTTTACTTTTTTTCTGTTTGGCAAATGGGCCTATCTCTCTCCTGCGGACCACAATATGATACGAGAAATCCTCAATTCCTGGAATCTTATCTGTTATAGTCCCATTGTACATCAGATGGGTTTGAGTTGCACCCGTTGTACTATACGGTATTACCCTGTACATCAAAGCGAATCTAGTACTAGAATTTTCCGCTAGATTTTTAATCGCTTTAGCAGCGACCTATTCATATTCACCACTTCGCCGTTTGCTTGTGGCCAATATGGACGAGTTGTAAGTAGCTCGATCCCGTTTGCTCTAAAAAATTCTTTAAATTTATGTTCCATGCTTACGAATTGATGACTGTTATACGATTTCAACGTTTGGGGAAACCAAGTCCTGCAAAAATTTCCTCGACCTAAAATTTAATCACTTTTAATGTAATATTTCTCTTTATTTTGTATTCCATATATCGAGGTTAATAATCGGTGAGAACCAAAATATATTCTCCGTCGCTTTATTGCATTTTCACCCGGATGGCCTTTATTTGCTAATTCAAATCACTAACTTGGTTCCTCTCAGCAGCAGTTTAGTAAGGACGACACTTCGACTCTAAATGGAACGAAAGGACTTGATGTTGCTAGCTTCCATGAATCCTCTTTTAAGGACGTCATCGCATTTATTATTTCACATCTTGAGTACTACTGCTTCTTCATCTCTGAGATCGATATCGAAAATGGTATTGAGTTTGAGACAATATGATATATGTTGATCTCTCCTTCAAATCAAATGCGTTCTACTCCGTCTTTTGGGACAATCTTAATAACGAGCCGGCAATATTCTCTTTTGTTGGTTTATATACAACCCGAAAATGATAAGACTGTAGACGTAGAAGTCATCTTTCGATAAGGGCTGGAGGTCGAGACGTGGTTCGCCAAACACACTTTTCTTTGTTGAGTAATACAGTATTTTCCTCAAATGTATACTGCACCATGCTCAGCGCCCTGTCATGTTCGTCGAGGGTTCTCCCTAAAACTATAACGTCGTCAAAATAGTTTAAATCGTTTTAAATCGCTTTTGTATCTGAACAGCCCACGGTGAGTATTGAACGTCGTTATTTCCCGGCTTGTATAGTCAAATTCCAGCTGATGGTAGGCGTTCTTAAGATCGAGCCTAGAAAAATATCTAGCAATATTTAGCTTAGTCATCAATGAGTTGAAAGTTGGAAGGGTATAATTATCCATATCGAAACATATACAAATTTCGCCACCTTCTTTGAAAGCAATCACAATTTAAGATATTTAAGCGGTCGGACTAATCGCCGGTTCTATAATATCAAATTCTAAGGCTTCATCCAGTTTCTTATTTACCTTTTGCTGCATAACTCGATTTATGTTTAACCCAAATCTTAAAACATGGAATTGTAACGCCGTGTCACATTTTAGTAGTGATTGCTTGCTGCTTTCTATTACATTTAACGTAGCAATCACTTCTGGGTTACTCTTTACGCTTAACTAAATATTTGTAATATTTTGAGAAGTTTATATGAAGAATAGGAGCAGACCTGATTAGAGGATGTAGAGCGCAAGTTGAAAATGGTCGCCGGGTCATCGAGCAGTGGTGAAAGCAATTAATGTTTACTGATTTCCCCTTACCTTGCACAGACTCACAGTTAACCAGCCTAATATGTTTGTCCGTTGGTCCTGCATCTTCGTGCGAAGTGTCCAATTCTTTGCCGGACAATCCGCGCTGCCCTTCCGGTGTTCCTTTCTCCCGCATAGATCGCAGTCTGCTAGTGTGTTAAGGTCTTTTTATATAAAACCCTTTGAACTGTGCTTTCTTGGCCAGCTGTACCCATTGTCGCTATTTGCTTGTTCACCTGCACTTCAATGTGACACATTTTGATAAATTCGTTCAACGGCAATTCATTTCCCCATAGATGATTTTATCTTTAGGCAGAATCCCTAAAGTTCTTCTCTGTGTTCGCCGAAAGAGCATTTCGCTACTTGCCTACGCAACAGCATTCCCCTTTCCAGGGGAACCATAAAGATAACCGATAAAGATGTCTCTCGAAGACCAAGTTTCGTTGTAGAGAAAAATACCCATTTTCACCACTAAAGGTGAACATATGTCATTTGACTTTCAATTGTGGTCCACCCAGGTGCAGCAGCTTATTTCTCTTTTTAATACGCTTTTATTAGTTCGGGATGTATGTATGTAACGGAATCTTTGAACACTATTTTCAAGGGTTTCCAAATATCTGATAAAGTTGAAACTTTGCATACTTCTCAAGGACTGATAAAAATTGATCATTATCCTGATTACGATCGTCCGGATTGATAAATTCTTTTATAGATCCTCCGTAAAGGAGTAAGAGAGACAGAGCTAGCACGCGATCTGCGCATCATGAAATAATGAGATTACGAAATAGTTCGTAAGATATTTCATAATTAAATGTCCGCAAAAATTGATTATTGATAAAAAGAACTGAAAAACGTAAAATAACTGATAGCTTAGAAAATTTAAAAAAACACGCGTTTATATGTACCCAAACTAAAAATATAAAATAAATATTAGTTCAAAAAAACTAAAAAAACACGCTTTTGATGGCCTATTGATGACACGCAGTACTGCAGGAAACAATCAAGTGCGTCTGTGTGCGTGAATATGTGTGTGTTTCTGTTCGCATACGCAACGACGAAAAATTAAAATTTTATATTTTGGGCTGCTGAACACTTGTTAGGTACCCTGCAGTACCTGTCATCAGAAATTCATCAACGTTTCATCAACATTCAAGGGGGTGCTGTTGATGATTCATCGATGACAGGCCATACAAACTGTTGATTTACTTAATATGGGCATGTCCTTAGTTTGCTTACATTTTTTTAAGTGCTTGAGTCCCTTTATATTGTTCTTATTTTTTCTTTATTTTTTTTATTTTATTTGTATAAGTAATGCAAAAATATAAATACTAAATGTTTAATTCCAATATTTAATTTAAAATCTATACGTATTTATGTAACAACTAGCTGTACCCTGACACGTTTCTCTGTGGCATATTGTGGTTGCACGCATAAGAAATAAGTCAAACAAAAAAGAATAATTTTCAAATTCATTTAATTCTGTAATACTTGTGGGTATACAATATTCTTCGTTTCTCCATTCTCCGCGTAAATATAAAGACTATCTGGTTTTCCGACACGGGAACACGCAACATATAATTGTCCGTGTGAAAAAACAATCTGCATCCAAATCTAGACCACACAACTCCAGAGATTGACCTTGAGCTTTATTAATGGTCATTGCGAACGCCAAACGAATGGGAAACTGCAATCTCTTGAACAGGAACGGTGTATCAGTCGGGATCAGAGGAATCCTAGGAATGAGGACATCTTCACCTTTGAAAGGACCAGTTATGATCGTTGCTTCTACTACGTTGTTAATCAATTTCTTGACTGCGAGTCGCGTACCGTTGCAGAATTTTGGCTGATTTATATTCCGGAGCATGATAATCGGCACACCTATTTTTAATTTTAATATGTGTGGTGGCATTCCAGGCAGATCAAGTGAGTTTAGAAATTCCGTAGGGTAATTAACTGCTTCCTCTGCCTCCACAACGGTATCTATCGACTTATATGTAATTTCGTCAGTTTCTATGCTGAATTGGATTACATGATTGAGCTGGTAGACATCTTTGTTCTTGGCAGCGAGAATCGCACGTTCACTGAGCCAATCGTGATTCCTATAATTTATTCGGATATCGGGGAACACTTTTTGGATAAGTCCTTTCTTCGATGTAACTAAATTACAGAAATTCTCGGGCAATAATATTTTTCTCGACGTCTCATTGATTGGCAGCTTTCCGTTCCCTATGTCCAGTAGCTGTCGTGAGAATACGTCGGCTGAGTAATCGTTCTGTAACTGGACACGCATATTCGTCTTCAACTGTAATATACTTACATTTTGCCACAATATAGAATATTTCAGGCAAGCATTTATCTCGGCAGCTGGTGTCGATCGGGAAATCACAGGCAACCTTTGCCTGAAATCCCCTGCAAGCAATATTAACGCATTCCCAAATGGTTGGACAGCTCCACACAAAACCCCCAATGATCGATCGAAAGCCTCCAGCGATTTTTTGTGTGCCATCGCGCATTCATCCCAAACAATGAGTTTACATCTTTGCAATACTTTTCCCATGCCAGATGCTCTGGAAATGTTGCACGTAGGAGTCTCGATGATTTGCATGTTCAACTGCAACTTCAGCGCTGAATGAGCAGTCCTCCCACCAGGTAACAATGTCGCAGCGATTCCAGATGAAGCAAGAGCTAAAGCTATGCCCTTGTTAGCTCGAACCGTAGCCAGAATCAATGTAATGAGGAATGTTTTCCCCGTTCCTCCTGGAGCATCCAAGCTTCAGCTACCCTTGCCCTGTCGCGTTCATTATTTTGAGAGTGAATCAAATCGATTGCTGCAGAACGCGACTGCCTAACTCTCAATCGTTTTCTCTCAAGCCTATCTGCTCGTCTTTCTGCTGATTCCGCGTTGTGCATCTGCATTGCTCTCAGCCGCTCAGTCTCTCGGGTGGAGGCCCGCTCTTCGTCAGTCATATTCGTAATCTTACCTCTTTTTGCTTCTGTATTGCGAGTACGACGACCCAAACTCGACTTCTTGGGTGGCATGACTTCGTTTCTTACTGAACCTGAACAAAAAAATACAATTTTAATCTCCAATTTCTTCTGTCAATATGTTGGGGATTTTTGACAGGAAATGCTTCGATTCAGCTGGCTGTCTGTAGAGGGCGCAGCAGTAGGGGCACGGGGAAACGCGAAAAAAAAACTGATGTATTCGCAAACGCAGATAGATAATAATATTAATAAGGAAATATAAAATTAATAATAAATGTTGGTTTAAATAAATACCATTTAAATTCGGCGTGCCGAATTAATGCCTGCTTTCATATCATTCACATACCCAATCGGACTTTTTAACCAAATTTCTCCCGACTTTCATGCAAACTCGTGGGTCGGACCCACCGTTTATGTAAAGTTCACATTCGCTGCTCGACTCAAGTGGGGTAATTCATGATCGGAAAATTTTTACAAAAAAATTATAACAATTTCAGTTTTTAACAGATTTTCATCAAATTTGAGATAAAGCCATTTTATATTAGTCTTAAATTTTGTGTCAAATTTTATGAAAATCGGACTATTATATCCTATAGCTCACATAGGAACGATCGAGAAATATATATAAGGAGATATATGAAGCAGTCGTCCGATCTGGCCTGTTCCGACAAATATAATAGTGAGAGTATATAGAAGACTAACTGCAAAGTCTCATTCGGATAGCTTAAAAACTGATACACTACCTTCACTGCTTTGCAAACTTTTGACTGAAATTATAATACCATGCAAGGTTAAATAAAATATTTTTACTGATCTGTGTGTTGTTTATATTATAGATGTCCCCTGGAGATCTTGCAACAATTGGTGGAATACCGTCAACTGTGTTAGTCAATACGAACGAAAAAATCTAAATTGTTGGGATAAAATAATAAATGGAACAGCAAAAAAGTCTGCACTGTAGCTGCTGCAAATATTACATCCTCTGAACTTACAGATCCAGTTAAAGAGTTTTGGGAGTAAGTACTAGAATATTTATTTATTTATTTTTTAATGTAAATAAATCAAATATTCTTTTTGGTCGCTTTTGGTTGGCAGTTGTTAACAATTTTTTTTTATTTTTTAGACGTCGCGCACTTCAAATATCGCATGGCATTGAAGAAATTGGTAATATTCGTTGGGAATTGGCCGGAACTTTGCTGCTTGTGTGGATTCTATGTTATTTTTGCATTTGGAAGGGTGTTAAGTGGACGGGAAAAGTTGTATATTTTACAGCTCTATTCCCTTACGTTTTGCTGACTGTCTTACTGATTCGAGGCATAACCTTGCCTGGTGCCTTTGAGGGTATTAAGTTTTATGTGATACCTAACTTCACCAAGTTGGGTCACTCGGAGGTTAGTATAAAAAATTATTAAACACACACTGAAAAAGGAAATACTACAAATTTGTTTAAGGTCTGGATTGATGCTGTAACTCAAATATTTTTCTCCTATGGCTTGGGACTTGGTACTCTGGTGGCTTTGGGAAGTTACAATAAATTTACCAATAATGTTTACAAGTAGGATGGTTTTATTTTTTATTGTACAGATAAATATAATCATAAATATTTATTTTAGAGACGCCTTAATAGTCTGCACAGTAAATTCAAGCACAAGCATGTTTGCTGGGTTTGTAATATTTTCGGTCATTGGATTTATGGCTCACGAACAGCAGCGACCAGTTGCCGAAGTGGCAGCATCAGGTACGCATGAAAACCTACAAATTCATTTTTAAAGATTTTAAAATAACTTGAACAAATTAATTAGGTCCTGGGCTTGCGTTTTGGTATATCCATCAGCAGTATTACAATTACCAGGGTCTCCCATGTGGTCTTGTTTATTCTTTTTTATGCTTTTACTTATCGGCTTGGACTCCCAATTTTGTACAATGGAGGGTTTTATAACAGCAATTATCGATGAATGGCCACAACTATTAAGAAAACGAAAAGAAATATTTATTGCAGTTGTCTGTGCTCTAAGTTACTTGGTTGGATTAACCTGTATTACTCAGGTAAGTTCCGAAAACGTCCGATACGATATATCACTCTCAATAATTTATCGAAATAAAAAGGGTGCTCACTTTAAAACGTCGTTGAAGTTTGCAACTGGATCATTAAGTTCTTTGAATTTTATGGACGTTGATGCACTACGGTCAGTACACTCAAGTGACCCGTATGATACTAGGCACGTGCCTGTTTGGGTTAGGTGTTAGTAGGAGCGATGGAAAATATAGAACAGAATACGATGAAATTGACTACTAGCGTGCCGCCAGGTTGTTTGCTTGCATGTTTACTAAGTTCGTTAGTATTAAAGATTTTAATTTGGGAAGGGTAGGCGTCGGTACAATACCTGAGCACACAGCCAGGAATTTCGTCGGGACCTGGCGAATAAACTGGCATGACACGATAAAGATCTAAAAGGAGAGACCTTTCGTTTAGGCTGGGGCAGAAAATTAAGTTTGATGTGGGTATGTCGTAGGAATAAGTCTGGGGTAAATTCGAAGAGTTTGAATTAGTTGTTCGAAAAAACTCCGAAAATAGATCGGCTATTGCCTGATCATTATTTGCGGTAGTACTTTCAAATGAAAGCTAGGATGGATTTGTTTTAGGCTTACATTTAGTGTTAACAAAATTATAAAACTGTTTTGGGTCCTGTGAGAACTGGGCCCTACAACGAGTTAAATAGTTTTTATAACACTGCGCGTTCAGCACGGTAAAGTTTGACCGAGCTGATAAATAAGATGAAAGGGCAGATTGAGAACCGGTGAACTTATATTGTGCATGCATCGCAGATTTTTTATTTTTAAGTCGGGTCAAACTCTTAAAAAAGGAAAAGATTCCAATAAATAGGGAGTTCCGACAATGGAGTTATGTAGGAATAGGTAATAAAAATGGATCTACCTTTGATAGATAGCTTCACACAATAGAATTCAATATCGTTTCATTCCTCGAAGGTTAATAATTCGGACGTGAGTAAAGAGTCCACCGCTATAAGAACTCCACCCCCGCGCCTGATAGGGCGATCTAGCCGATATACTGTGAACACAGCTGGAAAAACTTCGAAGCTCAGAATCTTCGGCTTTAACTAGATTTCTGTGAGCAAAATAACCTGAGATGCAGACGAAAGGCTATTAGAATGGAAGTTAGGAAGCTTACTACGTAAACCTCTTGCATTCTGATAGGATTGAAAGACGTAGAAGGGGCAGTGGTATGATCAGGCCTGGGAAGAGTTATTATTAGAGTTAGTTAAAATATGTCTCGTCGGTGGAACCTCTATAAGGGCTTTTGGCAAGGCGGATTGGTTAACTGCCGTGCCATTGTCGGTCGGTATTCCGGGCCTAACGCCCTGGGCAAATATATTTATATGTATGCACGAGACTTTGAGAGGTCAATATTTGCGACCCCCAGGGACAAAACAGAAATCACCGGCGGTACGGGCGCTCCCGCTGCACATTCGGGTACCGAATCTTTCCTAACGCTCGATCTCAGCACTCTTGGAATTAATGCTGAGGTCGAAGGCTGTGCCGAGGGAGGCTGCTGCTAAGAACCCGTTGCGGGTAGTTGGGGTCTGTCTACATGATGCCCATCAATAGCAGATTTTTTGTGCCTGGGAGACTCATTTACTGGCGTAAGGCTATTAAATTGAGTGTCTAGCCCCAAGAACATTTCAAGAGTAATACGAAAGACTTCATTTCGCTTTCTGCATCGCGACAGCACTCGCATCAGTAACGCAGGCCGATGTTTTTTTTACATCGTCCACCGTCCGAGATGCAACACCAATAAACTTGGCGTGCATGACGTTGTCGCACATCCAGCAGCCTATTGTAAGGGAACATGCAGAAATAGCCTTTTTGCAGGTTTTGGCGAAACAGACAATATTTCCAGACATTATTAAGACTTACCACTGTAAGTCATTTACTGGCGTAAGGCTATTAAATTGGGTGGCAAGCCCCAAGAACATTTCAAGAGTATTACGAAAGACTTCATTTGGCTTTCTGCATCGCGACAGCACTCGCATCAGTAACGCAGGCCGATGTTTTTTTTACATCGTCCACCGTCCAGATGCAACACCAATAAACTTGGCGTGCATGACGTTGTCGCACATCCAGCAGCCGATTGTAAGGGAACATGCAGAAATAGCCTTTTTGCAGGTTTTGGCGAAACAGACAATATTTCCAGACATTATTAAGACTTACCACTGTACTTGTACTTCAGAAAAAACAGAGTTATAAAGTTAAGATGTGAAGAGTCACAGCGAAAGCGAGAGGGCGGAAGGATGTGAGAGATAAATAACTAAATCGTTTAGCTGTTGCGACGGCGCAAACGAAGGCAAGACAAAGACACAAAAAGGAATGAAAAATATACAGTACAACTAAATTGCGAAATAAAACCAATTATAAACACAAATCAGAGAATAGCTGCATGCACACGCAAAGTGAACGGGAAGTTATTGACACAAAATTGAATATTTAAGTTAACCCCAGTGGGGTTAACACCAAACGAGAGCGCAAAAAAACACGCCCGTTCACTTGGAAAGATGACATAAATAAGAACAAGAAGGAAAACTTCAGTCAAGTGTGAGATTTCCCTTACACAAAACGGTGGAAGTGAAAATAAATTGTATAGACTGTATATTTGTTTTAGAATTTATAAAACACTTAAATTAACGAAACTGTAGTATTCAGAACAGAACGTATTATTGCTCGTCGGATTGGTTGGGGTCCTTTCTTCCCTTGCTATCTTTCTTGTGTAACTCAAATCATATAATGCGCGAGATAAATCAAAATATAACAGTTTCAACAAAACACAAAAAAAAAAAACAAATGATTCCGCGACGTCGCCGATAAGATAACCAAACAAACTCCGGAGGATTATGGGATCACAGGTGCTAGGTACCCCTATTCTCTACCCACCTAAACTTGAAAAGGTAATTTAATTTAACATTAAATAAATTATCGGTAGTTTAATCATGTTTCCAAATTTTCATATTGCGCAGTCTTACCAACTAATTTTCTTTGCGCCGTCTTACCAACTAGTTTTCTTTAATTCATTTATGTTCATATTAAAAAAAATTTAAGATGCAAAACAAGAAGAACTTTAATTAAGATTCGTCTTAACCGATTATTTGAAGAATTTTATAGTGATTTTGCAAGAACAAAAAAATATATACATAGATTTTAAATTTTCGTCGCAACTACAAAGCGCTGCGGCCTATAATGTTACCACCCATGTATGCACGGTTAAAACGTAAGGAACACGAAAATTATAAAAATTATATAGGTGATTTTAGCTCGATCAGTAAAAGTGGAATGATTGCACTTTATGATTTCTTAGGCAATATTTACCAAAAATTTCCTTTCAGCCTTTCCGTAGCAGATTACAGAAGTATTTGAAAACAGTTAAATAAATAAAATACAATTTTAATTTTTATTAAATTGAAAATATTATCAAAAAACCCGTTACTGAAAAAAAAATTAATAATATTCTTTTTATTACATATACCTATATCTAGATCTATACATATTTACAATTATACATTTACCGGTCACTAATAACCAATAAAGGTCGAACTTAAAACAATTTGCATAAAATTAAGATCGAAATCCATAACAATTATGTTGAGAAAATATGTTGAGAACAAGAAAGAAACCCAACTTCGGCACACCGAATTTTGTATACGCTTGCGATTTTCAATTGGAATATTAAAAATCAGTTCATTATATTCATTAAAAAGGAAGGAACAACAAAAATATTAACCATAACTATTAAATTAAAAGTTTTATATGTAGTTGTAGTTTAAGATTAATGGTTTTGCATTTTTATCTCTATTCTATTGTTTCTCTATCATTTTTATGGCAGATAGATATTAAAATCATTTGTTTCACATAAAATGAAAACCAAAATTGTAAAATAAGAAATTTTAGAGTAGATGAAAATATCTTGATCAACATCAACAGGATTATTTTTATACCCTTGCAGGGTATTATAATTCCAGTCAGAAGTTTGCAACGCAGTGAACGAGGCACCTCCGACTATATAAAGTATTTATATTCTTGATCAGGATCATCAGCCGAGTCGATCTAGCCATGTCCGTCTGTCTATCTGTCCGTTTATACGCAAACTAGTCTCTCAGTTTTAAAGCTATCTGAATGAAACCAATAAAGGTCGAACTTAAAACAATTTGCATAAAATTAAGATCGAAATCCATAACAATTATGTTGAGAAAATATGTTGAGAACAAGAAAGAAACCCAACTTCGGCACACCGAATTTTGTATACGCTTGCGATTTTCAATTGGAATATTAAGAATCAGTTCATTATATTCATTAAAAAGGAAGGAACAACAAAAATATTAACCATAACTATTAAGTTAAAAGTTTTATATGTAGTTGTAGTTTAAGATTAATGGTTTTGCATTTTTATCTCTATTCTATTGTTTCTCTATCATTTTTATGGCAGATAGATATTAAAATCATTTGTTTCACATAAAATTAAAACCAAAATTGTAAAATAAAAAATTTCAGAGTAGATGAAAATATCTTGATCAACATCAACAGGATTATTTTTATACCCTTGCAGGGTAATATATAACCAGTCAGAAGTTTGCAACGCAGTGAAAGAGGCACCTCCGACTATATAAAGTATTTATATTCTTGATCAGGATCATCAGCCGAGTCGATCTAGCCATGTCCGTCTGTCCATCTGTCCGTTTATACGCAAACTAGTCTCTCAGTTTTGAAGCTATCTGAATGAAACTTTGTAGTTGGTCTTCTATATACTCTCACTCGTATATATGTCTGAACGGGCCAGATCGGAGGACTATATCATATAGCTGCCATAGGAATGATCGGAAAATGTTTACAAAAAAAAATTATAACATTTTCAGTTTTCAACAGAAATTAATCAAATTTGAGATATAGCTAATTTAAAAAAATAGTGTAAAATTTTATGAAAATCGGACTACTATATCATATAGATGCAATACAAACGATCGTTAGATGTGGAGGAAAAATGCAAATCTGTGAATGTAAAACTGCAAATATTATATATTTAGGTGAATGAAATGAAAGCAGCTATTACTTCATTATTTTTTAACATCAATATATATGATTTATTAAACGGTTTTATTTTGCTCACCCGGTTTGTTTTCTTTATTCTTGGGTCAAATTTAGTAATTCAAATTTCACCCTTTTCCTGTCAACCGATTGATCTAAAATTTTGTATACACTTTGGATTTTGGTGACAATACAATTATGTTTATTCATTATCAAGATGATGATGATGATTATAATTCCCACGACTGTATCTATTTTATTATTTTTGGCTTTTAGTACATTTATCTTAAACATTGCAATGTATGTTTAACATAAAACCGTTTAAGTTAAAAAGTTTTTTACCTATTTTTATTATATTGTATGAATTCCTAGTCATAGAAGTTCTATCTGCAAGGGTGTATAAACTTGCCGAAGTTAGCTTCCTTTCTTGTTTTTTTTTAATTTTCCGATTGTTCCTATGACAGCTATATAATATAGTAGATGCATTCTTATAAAATTAAAACTAAAATTTTAAAGTAACACAAACTGGCCATATCTTAAAGTGGATTGAAATATGTTGAAACTCAGGAAAAGTTAAATTTGTTTTTTTTTTCAGATCGTTTCTATGACAGTTATATGATCTATTCGTCCGATCCGGTCAGTTCTGACTTAAATATACATGCGAATAAATAGAAGTATAAATACAAAGTTTTATTAAGATAGTTTTTAAACTGAGAGACAAGTTAGACGGTAAGGACGTTGAGAAAATTTTTGGTATGAATACTGTCTCTCCTTTGGCTCAGCCAATATAACGGTTTCAATAAAAAATTTGTAAAGAGTTTTAACTTGCAATCTGGTTCTGTTGCAAAATGTTAGGGGTTAGGTTAGGTTACGTGGGCGCCACGCATAGGTCAATGTGGCCCTTAGTTTTCCGGGTGTTGTTTGTATGGACCTGGAGATTTTACGCGGTTTCGATCTCCTTGAAGATCAAGGTGTTTTTCTGCGAAGGCAAGTAGTTTATCTGGTGTCTTCTTCGAGGCATCTTCTAGTGATGCCAGTACTGGGGCACCTAAGCACAATATTCTTGCTTGCATTAGTGCTATAACTTGACCAGCATAGTCATGATCTTATGTGCTCTGTCTTCATCGACCATTCCTTACTCGCTAGTAATTTGAATATCCTGGACAGCACATAAGCATTCTCACTTCCTGGGATGTCGCCATGTCCGGGTACGAAAGCTATTTGTACTCTGTTGTACTTTGCTAACCTATTCAGTGCCTCTTTGCATTTAACTAGGTTTGATGTAGTCCTTGCTCTTGCGACAGATTTTATGGCCGCTTCTCTATCTGAGTAGATACTTACCCTCGTATTTTGAAAGTCTTAATTTGATGAGATTTAGCTTAGCTAATCCTCGAGCCGTCCGTTTAGAGTGATACCTCAGTGTCAGTTTCTTTCGTTATCAAAAAGTTCATCTTGTCAGGTTTCATACAGTGCCCGGTGTGGTAATTCTTCTAACTCTGGCTTGCTAAGCAACACCCCCCCTATCCCGGATCTGCCTATCCTGTATGCAAGCTGTGCGTGTTTTGTGTTTTTTTTCTACATGCTTGGAGAATTGCTTGCAACCTTCTACCTATACATGTTTTTGTTGTCTGCAGCATTGCTGGTATGATTCCGTCGGGACCCGGTCTTTTGTACTTGTCGAAGAAGTCGATCGCCCAATCCTTTCCATAGCTATTATCTCTTCCACTTGTATTTGTTGGACTGCCCTTTGGCTTTCCGTTGTTGCAGATTCTTCTATCCGGTTTGCTGGGCAGTGTGTCTGCAGCAGGACTTCTAGTGACTCTTCCCCTAATGTCGTGCATGTGCCGTCAGGCCTGTTTATAAGTGTTGGGCTAGCTCGCCCTCTAGCTAGAGTATATCTTTTTTTTGTATTCCTGCTGTAGCTCCTTGCACGGTCGCCAGTCTTTGGATTGTATTAAAGGTCTTCCTTACATTTTTTTGAGAACGCATTGCTCTTAGCGCCACCGTTGTGTGTATGGCTTCTTCGAGTATGTAAGTCTGCACGACTCCAAATACGCATTGTCGAGAATAGTACTAAAGTCCTCGACGTACTTGTCAATTCCTTTTGGGATGGACCGAACCGAAAAACATACCTGCTTTCATTTCATTCACATATACATATTATTTTTACAGTTTTTCATTCACTGATTTGCATTTTTCGTCTATATATCAAACGATCGTTCCTATGTGAGCTATATGATATAGTTGTCCGATTTTCATAAAATTGTACACAAAACTGTAAAGTAATATAAAATTGGTATATCTCAAATATGATCAAATTCTGTTGAAAACTGAAAATATAATATTTTTGTAAAAATTTTCCGGTTATTCCTATGGCAGCTATATGACATAATCGTCCGACGCGGTTGTTTCGACATACATATATACGAGTGAGAGTATATAGAAGACTACTACAGTTTCATTTAGATATCTTTAAAATTGAGAGACTAGTTTGAGTAGAAACGGACAGACGGACATGGGTAGATCGGATCGGCTGTTGATCCTGATCAAGAATATATATACTTTATATGGTCGGAGGTGCCTCCTTCACTGCGTTGCAAACTTCTGACCGAAATTATAATACCCTGCAAGGGTATAAAAGAGACTAACCTCTCTCGTTTGTTTCCTTACTTCTCCGCAGTGTGTGCCTGTTCTCTGCTTTAAATATGGCCATTACAAGGTTTGTGTTGCTAAGATTGGGATATAGAAGTGCGTTAAGGTTGTTTTTTAATGATTATACCCGCTCTTGTCCTTCCTGTCAAGTTAGTAAATATTATTGTATATCCTTTGACGGGCATGCCAGATACCGAATCTTTTTTAGCGCTCGATCTCAGCAACCCTGGAGTTAATGCTGGGTTGAGGGCTGTGCCGAGGGGAGCGGCTGCTGTGAGCCCGTTGCGGGTAGCTGGGCTCCGCCTAAATGCTGCCCTCCAATTGCGTTTTTTTGCGCCTTGGAGACTCATTTAATAGCGTATATTGGTAAATAGTAATTTTTTAAATGGGCCGTACTGACTTGAGCCTTCTTCTGCTGATGGGGGGGGGGCGACTTAGGCTGGTGGTGTCGCCTTGGTAATGTCTGTTGATGGTTGTGGTTGATGGTTTGGGGAGCGCTTGACTTAGCACTGCCCACCGTACTCGACGAAGTTAATGTCTCGTCGACCAAGTGCAGCAAATCATCTTCTTCGATTTCGGAGATAGAGTGGGGTTTTACCTCCTTTGGGTTCCTTGCTCGACGAAACGAGCGCGGCGGGCCCGAGGGTTTTTGAGCATAAAAGAAGGTCGACCATGGCTTCGCCCCGAAGCCGCGACAAGACCACTTACGACCCATATAAACGATTCACCAAACAATGCGTCGAATCGGAGCTCTTCTCGTAGTTCGAAATCAATGCGAAATTTTTTTGATTTCTAGAATAAATTAATTAAGTAAAATATTTTAAAATATTTAAACCTTTAACTATGCTATGAACTGAATTTCGTGGATAGAAACGATCGTTATATTTAGAGGAAAATTCAAAACTGTGAATGTAAAATTGTAAATATAATATCTTTTGTTTATTGACAAAAATTTGAATAATTCCTAGTGATCGAATTGCAATCTGCAAAGATATAAAATCCTTTTCTTGTTTTTTATTTGTTTTATTATTTCTATGATTCTTAATTCTTCTAGGGCGGCATGTATATATTCCAAATATTGGATTCATATGCTGTTAGCGGCTTTTGCTTGCTTTGGCTCATATTTTTTGAATGCGTTTCTATATCATGGTGTTACGGCGTCGATCGTTTCTATGATGGTATCAAGGATATGATTGGTTACTATCCAACAGTTTGGTGGAAGTTCTGTTGGTGCGTCACCACACCAGCTATATGTGTGGTAAGTATTTTTTTTGGGCACCTACCTACCTGTAAGGTACAATTATTATATTTCTTCGTTATAGGGCGTATTTTTCTTTAACATTGTTCAATGGACGCCTATAAAATACCTGGATTATAGCTATCCATGGTGGGCGCATGCCTTTGGTTGGTTTACAGCGTTATCATCGATGCTCTATATACCAGTATATATGTTTTGGTTATGGAAACGTACGCCTGGTGACCTTAGTGAGGTAATATATTCATAAAAATATTATCGTGTCATTATTTATTCATTTTTTTTTATTTCTTTATCATAGAAAATCCGTGCTATTGTGCGGATAGATGAAGATGTATCCCGTTTACGAGAGAAAATGCAAAGGGAAGCATATGCTAAGGAGGTTGATTTCTCATTATAAATATTTATTTATCCTAAGTTTACTTATAGAAAATATTAAGATTACTACTTCGTTTAGCATTTTATATTCATGTAATCATAAATTGGTCAATTTATGTAAACTTGTGTTGTCTCCTTGATATTTTTGGAATCAATTTATTCTGTTTTTGATCTTAATAGCTTCTTAAAAAAACCTTTCAACTAGTCTAAAAAATCAAGGGTTTTAAGTGTTTTTTATGGAGTACTTACTCAAATAGTAGAACAACGTTGACCCCATATCCAAAGTGATAAGAATATTCAGCTTGTAAACAAATTAATATCTACACGTGAGAAATTTTATCATTGTTTCGTCTGCATGCATCCATTATACGTTCTTAATTAATCAAAGTCCTGTTTTCATCCATTAGTTTAGGCTAAAAAAAAAATTAATCCAAAATAAAAACTTGTAATACCGAATCGCAAGAATTTAAATAAAATAAGTCATTCTTGGACTTTGTTTAGTTGTTTTATAAACTTTTGTAATAACTTATAATAATTATTTAAGGATAATTTGAACAAAAGAATAATGAGAAACCGTAATTCAAATGTAATATAAAACATGTCTTTATATTTACCTATATAATACATAATATGCGTATAGAGTTTCAGAGAGTTTCGCTTATCATACCATAAGAATGTCCCATTGTTGCTTTGTTGTGTCAAATAAAATAAGAATCTTTAACTGAATTTTAATTTTGGATGGAAATCACAATGATCAAGTTGTTTGCCTTACATACTATACGGTATACGATAGGCATAAAGTAAGTAGTTTGTATCTGTGAGGTAAGTTGTAAAAATACAATAAATATTTTCTTCTATATGCCGCCAGTAATCGCAAGCTATTGTGTGATCTGGCATAAACTATATTCTAATTCGGGACGCTGGTAAAATCGTTTAGTGTTAAGACTGGATATTTTGCAGCTTACTGCCAAAAACAAAACAAGTTAAAATATATATTTTTTCATTTACAAAACTCAAATCTTCACCAAATATTTGACACACATTTTTAAAGTTTAAAATGTCATCGTCACTCATGCCTCACTTCCTTATTAGGTGTTTTTGGTTGACATCAAACGTATGTGTGTGTATACACACCAGATATTCTCCGCAGTAATTGGTTTAAGAATATCTGGATGCCGCAATACCATAAACTTGAAACCCATATCTCCAAGTGGGTGCAAGGATGGACTTGTATATCCGGACCTTATTTGCCAGGCTGAGGTGATTATTTGCCTTCAGCAGCCAGTACAGCCTTCTGACCTTATCCTCCATTGAGCGCCTAACTGTACTTGTATGCTTGGCGAAGGTTAATCGGGTGCCTAAAGTGACCCCATGTACTTGAATTCTGTTTGTGTCGCATGGAACTCGGCATATCGTGGGTAAACAAACTGTTGTACAGTCGGTCCCAGCATGCTTCCTTAGGGAACTCCAGCCTTAATCAATCTTTGGGAGGTTAGGGTTCCATCCTGGACCACCCTGAATGTCCTTTCAGATAAATATCTCCTAACCATTTCGAATAGTTTCGGGTTAATAAAGTGATCTAAGAGGCAGGGTTTTTATAACACGGTTGTCGATTTGATCCTCTACAGGGGCTTTCTTGTCATTAAGCTTTTTAATGTTCTATTTGGTGTATTATGCAAGCTTGGCAGCCACTATCTGTTCTCTCCGGGCAGAGACTGTTGCGAAGGGATTAAATCTACCTTCCAGATTTTGAGGAAAAATTTCAACTCTGTCTTGTGTGGATCTTCCCATGTGCCATCTTCCTTTTTGACACAAATCTTAGGAGTAGCTTGCCTCTTCTAGGATCTAGTCAGCTTCCAAAGCGAATAGTTGGAGCTCGCATCAGCTGTCACGTTATCCAGCATATGATCCGTAGCTTCAGCCTTGAGTAATGCTAGTTTATCCCGTTCTCAGTTTGAGATCCTCCTGAACAACCTGCTGATCCTTATGTCGGATGCCTCTTCTTCAGCAACAGCAATCCCTCTACTTCAGAAGGGAGCAGACAATTACGCCTTGCCGTAAGAGAGCTTGACCCCGGTGGGGCCGCAACAGCAGCAGCCTCCCTAATCTTTGTAATGAGGATGTTGATGTCTGAATCCACGTCCTCCTTCATGTTTAGGGAGGTGAAAAGATAAAGTGAGTTATTCTGTGAATCTTGAAAGGCAGAGAGACAAAATCCTGGTTTCGGCAGACTGGATAGCACACACCAAAGTTGTTATAAGCGTCAAATGATCAGAGCTAAGATCATGCTTGTTTCTAATGGAGAGTAGGTTCCTTGCAATCGATTTGTAGATAAAAAGATCAATAAAAGACGGGGTGACCCTAGAGTCGCTAGAATTTGTGCCGAAGAATTTTTTATAGCATCATGTAGAGCGCCCCCTCTACCGTCGACTCTGTAACTACCCCAAAGACGATGTTTGTATTAAAATGCCAGCCTTAGATTAACTTATACCCCAGTTCTGACAGAAGGTAATCCAACTAAAGACTAGTCCAACTTAATGAAGGAGGAAGATATAAGATATGCTGCACCAATCAGTAACTCTTCCTGCTAGTTGAAACCACGACGGTAGCTAGTTGAATTTTCCAATTTCTTACAACATGAAGGTGGCAATAGGAAATTCCTTTCTTGATCAGAATGGCTGAACAACCTCGGCGAGTATTGCTGGGTCAGCTCTCAGGCATTTGAAACTTGCAAGAGTTAAGTTTCATACAAGGGTTGATGCCAGGCTGCGGGAGTTGCTACTATGAGTGATAGCTGTGCGACCATCCTTTGAAACCTTTTATCATTTGGAAAATACTCAACAAGTCAGGAGTGAGTATTGCTGGGGTAGTCAGCTCTCAGGCATTCCAAGAGTAAAGTTGATACCAGGCAAGATTAAAGTTGATACCAGGGTGTAAATATGTATTCGCAATTAACATGTCGTCAATTTTATGCTGTATGTTAAATATAAGCAGCTCATTCACATTTAATGCCAGCCAGCGGGCGTTCCAGAATCCAATGCGGACATTAATTCGAACTTAAGATTTGGAACTCGCTCATCTGCTATTGCCAGGAAGGTTGGGAAACTCCGTATGGACTATCCATTTGAGGAATAGGCTCACCACGTGGCCCAGTGACATCCGCAAAGGACAGTCCACAGCCGAGGACGGGATAAATTGGTTTCGACTACGGGAACTGAATTATCGAGAAGCAGCAAGGTTAATAGAAAAAAAGAGTGAGAAGTTCCGATGATCACTAGCAACGTTCGCAAAAAGGAGCGATCACGCTGGAACGGGAAAACAGAGATTAACGCACCTAGCAAAATACTAATATTTAAGAAGCTCGACAGCGACACCCGAGATTGTGATAACCAAGCCGGAACAAAACGAAAGAATGGAGAACACAAAGGAGATCATCATGGAAAAAAAAGTGGAAACAAAAATTGTGGACACAGTGTAGAATTGGGGAATTCGAGAGAGCGCTGGAAAAGCAAAAACACCACTATAATCTGCGGAAAAGAAAGTGGAAGCCAGCAGTCAAAGAACTAGTTTGGTGCAAAACTTACCACTTGTCCAAAGCGGTGAACCAGTTCAACCCAAAACTGGCACACAGAACCACACTTAGGAACAGATACAACCCCGGACCGCACCCATAACCCAACACTGGACAATGAACATGATCTAACACAACACTCAAAGCACGATCTAACCCTAAACCCAACCCTAACAACAGCTGTTTCATCGCAAAAACTAATAAACGCCATTTATTTACAGAGAGAATGCATAATTTTCAGGAGAGCACAAGGCGGTTCAAGAAGAACCACGCAAAGACAACAGCAGCGAAGTCAAGGGCCATATTGGTAGAAGCGCAGGTATGCAAGAAACCTTGTGGAAAAAGGAGGCGCCAGCAAAAATTGGCAGGTTGGCAACAATCCGCGAGGAGGTGCGCGAACCGCCGGCAATCGTCCTTCCGAGTCGGAGCAGGACAGCGTACCTACCGAGAAAGCGGAGCGGCTGGAAATCAAGGGCAGAGGATGCGGCACCTGGGGCGATGGTGAAAGAAAAGGCGTGCGAGCCTCCGGCGAAGTTGACGGCGGCGAACGTCCTACCAATCCGGGACAGACACAAAGCAAAAGCTTTGATATGAACGCCACGAGACCACCACAGGACGCATACACTACGAGAGCCGCGACTTGGGCTACTGCACAACAAGCGCCACTACTACAGATGGCATCAACATCGGCATAGATTTTTTGGCTTCTAAATAATAATCAAAAATATACGAAAAATAATGTCGTTAATTGGACATACATTCTTTTTAAATTTAATTCATTAAATTGTTTAAACTTTCCGATGCTAATGGTTCCATTTACGTTTACACCTTTAACAAAAATACTAATACGGGACCTTATTGAAAGCGCGTTATCCAGTCGCTGAACTAGAAAAGGTAACCATGCAACGGAAAATATTCAGGTACAAACAGCGAATTTATTTGGCCTGTAAATAATAATCAAAAATATACGAAAAATCAATTTTCTTCTGAACAACTGACCGGATTTTGATAAAGCACATATCAAAATGCTGAGAAAGCCCACGTCGTTTATTGGACGTAATGTTCTTTGACCAAATAATTCATGAAATTATTAATATTTTCTTTGCTAATAGTTCCCATTTCGTTCACACCTTTTACAAAAGTACCAAATCGGACCTGTTGAAAACTCGTTATCCAGTCGCTGAACCAGACAAGGTAACCACACAACGGAAAATATACAACTACAAATGGCGAATTTATTTGGTTTGTAAATAATAATAAAAGTAAAGAAAGGATTTTTTTAAAACAGAACTAAAAGATTACTTGGGCCATTTCGTTCATTGGACACATACTTTCTTGAACAGTTGATTCCAGACATTTAAAATATTTCCCATTGCTAATGGTTACGTTGTCTGGTTCAGCGACTGGATAACAAAGCGGCCGTCAGCCGATAGGGTGCACAGGGGGATCAACGGATGACTGTGCCATCCGCCGTAACTGTGTACTCCATCGGTAGTGCGACTATTCTCTCCAAGCGAGGGCGACTGGAAGCAGGTCCCCAGTCGAGGCTCGACCGGGGATGCTGACCAATTGTAGTTGGGCGGACTTAGGCAAGTCTTTAATCAGGATAAAACAGAACTAAAAGATTACTTGGGCCATTTCGTTCATTGGACACATATTTTGTTGAACAGTTGATTCCAGACATTACAAATATTTCCCATTGCTAATGGTTACGTTGTCTGGTTCAGCGACTGGATAACAAAGCGGCCGTCAGCCGATAGGGTGCACAGGGGGATCAACGGATGACTGTGCCATCCGCCGTAACTGTGTACACCATCGGTAGTGCGACTATACTCTCCAAGCGAGGGCGACTGGAAGCAGGTCCCCAGTCGAGGCTCGACCGGGGATGCTGACCAATTGTAGTTGGGCGGACTTAGGCAAGTCTTTAATCAGGATAAAACAGAACTAAAAGATTACTTGGGCCATTTCGTTCATTGGACACATATTTTGTTGAACAGTTGATTCCAGACATTACAAATATTTCCCATTGCTAATGGTTACGTTGTCTGGTTCAGCGACTGGATAACAAAGCGGCCGTCAGCCGATAGGGTGCACAGGAGGATCAACGGATGACTGTGCCATCCGCCGTAACTGTGTACTC